AAAAAAAAAAAAAATTTTGGCGAACGACGACTGCCAAATTTACATATTAAACAAGCGTAACAACAAAATGGAATGAGACTCAAAGCCTATATTCACAAAAACGATTTGTTAGCAAAAATAGACACCAAGACCATACACAAACCTTGAACAACGCGTCGCTTTTCTCGGTCCAACAAGATTCCTAACTGAACAGGAACACTACAGCATCAAACAAAAGCAATTGCTCAATTAAGCTTTCCAAAACCCTAAATCACTTCCTTTCAACCTTTCCCCTTATAGTGTTTTCCATCTAAAGTATTGCAAACAATTTGCGAAAAGATAGTAATAAAACATGACCGTAGCCTACCAAATGCTTGGATTTAACAGTGTTTTGCTTTTAAAGTTACAAAATTCTATTAACAAAAGAACACAAGCAAAATCAGCAGAACGAAATGCAATCTTGCTATCGTCGAAAACAGGGAAAAAAGTGCAAAACCAAACACAGAAAATGCGTCATAATAATTTAAAGACTAATAAGAACCAAATGCTAGGTCGATCTGCCGGTGCTTGAAAGTCATCATTATGAATAAAAATCGAAAAGCTCCTTCAATTTATTTACATCACCGTTCTTCTCAATTAGCTTTATGTCCAACAGTCCAAGCTTTCATAATAATTGAAAACCAATTAGAAGTCACAAGATCTGCTATTCCTCCTCCAACAGTGAAACTAGGCTCCACAATATCAGCAAGAGATGATATAAACTTGCACTTCTAACCCGCAAACCCCTGAAATGAAAAAACACACAGTTATCGAAATTACAAGTGAGGAATGCTCCATCACTAGGTTTTGCAGTAATTGCTTTTAAAACTTAAAAAATCTTAATACACAGAATGATCAAAAAAGTTATCTCAGAAGAAAGCTAGAGGCACTATCCTAAAGCTAGAAAAAAATATAATTTTTGTTCCACATTGTCACACAGAAATGCAACTTTTTTCGTTTAAAATACATTTTTAATATTTTTATTAACTGATAAGTTTTCTCCCGCAAACCTTTACATAACGTCTACTTCACAAAAAGAAAGCAATTTTAGGCCATCAAAATAGCAGAAGTAAATCGCAAGCATTTAGAAAATTTTCCATCTTCTTTGAGTCTCCGTCTTGTAACTTCCAAATCCACAGTCTGCCTAATTTGCGATCTGGTCACTTCGTGCAAAAGATATTTCGATTCTCTGTACTTGAAGTATTTTCAAAACATGATTTCTATAAATTTAAGAGCTACACTCACCCTATGTTTCAAAACTTCGTCATAAACGTATCTTTTAATAGACCATGTTAACATAACAAACTTCGTAAGAAGAAATATTCCAGCACTTTTCTAACTTAACAGGAGACGCACTATTAAACGAAACAGAACTGCTGAAAGTCTGCGCCAGATGAACAGAACTAGTGTTCTACATAGATGACCGTGTTAAGCAAAAATTGCACTTTTTTCTCGTCTTAACGCAATGTTGACCCCACTAACAACGCAAAAAAGCCTACGCGTCACTAAAGATTACAAAAAATGCTGAATCTGATTGGTCGCTTGACGTGAAATCGCTGTTAAAGAAACCATAAATGCACGTCAAATCAATCACTTTCTTTGGCTAATTTCTTAAATCTTCTTCAAAACTTGCAGAATAGTGAAGTTAGCACTCTAAAATAAAAATTGCGTTTAGACCTCCTTAGCAGAAAACTGATATTCTCCCAAAGTTAGAGATCAGTGCCTAGTTTGAAAAAAACTAACTTGTTTCACTGTATACAAAAGCAAAAATTTCTGAATTCTCTTCAAAAAACATTTGTTCCACTCAGTAATACTTACTGAGATATTAAATTTCCTTCACAAAAAACGAAAAACGACCAAATTAAAGCAATGTCAAGAGGTATTAGATATTCAGTTTCCCTCTACAAAAATTTAATGCAAAACTAGATTGAAAATACGAAACAAATTTTATAAAAGGGCAAAGGCGGACAAGCAAGTTACAGCAAAATTAGTGAAATAAAGTTTAAAAAGTTGCATTAAAATGCCTCTTTCCAACACCTGACTATATAAAAGAGCCACGAAGAAGCAAAAAGCTCAATTTCCCAGTTGTGACCACTTAAGATAAAGTGCCCAAAAAATATGTTAATCTGTGCCAATAAGTCACATTTATAACCCTGCAAAAACTGAAGACATCTTGCCTCAGTGCAGTTTTACAAACTTCAACTTATCCTTCAAATCATAACAAGTGGTACTTCCATCAAAGCAAAGATTTGCACTAATTCGGATGGAAATGCATAAATTCTGCAGCAGATATAGCTTCTTAGAAAAAATTTAAGTAATAAAGTATCTACGCAACCATTCTCAAAAAAAAGTTTCAATTTTCTCCGCAGTTTCCTGGTAAAACCAGAAAAGAAAATAATTCAAATATTCCAAAATATGTCTTCCAAAGAGACTCAAAAACAATCAACCAACGAAAGTGACAAAAACCACATGTCAATAAAACAGATAATACAAAAAAAAAATTTTTTTTGCCTATCTTAGAAAGTATTAACCTACTCAGAATTAGACTGCTGAAGCAGACTCAGTGGTTACGCAAATTGAAAATCAGGCCTCGAAATTCATACAGGTTCGAAAAAACTTGATAACTTGGCTGGGAAAGACGCGCAACTTGGTGAGGCCCGCCCCGCATATTATTTGCTGGTAACAATTCGAAAACAAGTTAAAATTTAATAATAAGTTCAATTAGCAACACATTTACACACTTCAGTCCTGAAATTATTAATATTTTTATTATAAAGCCACAAAGGAAAACGTTGTAAATGTAAACGTCACTAACTTCAGTCATCAATTACACTAAGAGTCCTCTTAGCATCTTCATACAGCTGTTTAGAGCGCGAAATTTTCTCACATAGGCGCTTAGCAGTCTCAACACGATTACACCAAAGATGTGGCAATGTTTGCTTTTTCCCGTCCATATACTCTAACGTCACTTCTGAACGAATGAAAACTAACAAAAATATTAAAATTACCATTTTGCTGTAACTTCATCTGCAGATTGAATACCTATTGGAGCGAACGAAGATCCCTCGTCCACAGGTAATGCATGGATGTTACGCAGATACTTGTAAGGAATTCTTTGAGTTACAGTGCTTGGTTCTGAATCCACTTGGCGAATTATATAACACTGTTCCGAGCATATTAGTGCATGTTGACACATTCTGCCGTCAGCAGTTCTTCGATCCAATAATTTTTCCAAATCCAAAAGACTGCAAAAGTGAATGCCATAAGCGAGTAAGCAAAAGAAAGTAAAGTTTTTAAAAAATGAGGATAAAATACTACTTACATTTCATTGGACGAGAAGCCACTAATTCGTACCAAAGCCATCTGAGCAGCAGCAAATTCTTCCGAATAACAAGGGAGAAGAGAAAGTAAGTTAGAACAAACCCTTGGCAAACGTATCCTCCCCTTAGCAAAATGACTTTTTCGAGCTGGAAAATGTTTATAAGTCAGAAAATCACCGAAAAATACAAGCGTTTTGGAATAATTAAATATTTAGTTGAAGTTTACATTCATTTCCACAGGCGTGTTAACTCACAGCGTAAATGCCTGTAAACTTTCACCCAAATCTTACGCGCTGGTTGAATACAGCAACCCTTTTAACAAAGCAAGTGGGAAGAAAGGTTACGAATGTATGCCTCGATGATTAAAAGACAGATGAACTTTTCTTTCTTAGACGAATAAAGGTAAAAAAAATCACGACCAGATGCTGGAACTCCAAAAGAAA